GCCAGGCCTGGGACAGTTGCACAGCGCAGGTCTTACCACGAGATAGGAGAAGAGATTCGAGTGAGAGAAAAGGGAAGCCAAGTGTTTGCGTTTTCAGGCTGAGGGGAAGTGGAAGGCCGTTCCCGCCTGCTTTGCCACCCACCAAACAGTAGCTTTGGCCAGCGTTGTGCAACCATCGGCTGGGAGGTTCATTGCTGATTCGGGCCGACCAAAAGGGAATTTCAGAGCCTCCGGTAAATTTGACGGGCCTTTCATGCTGAAGCAGAGAACCCGGCACTCAGGCCCACCAGCCGGCAGGGAGGCAGCTGGGCAGGCAGGTGAGGGGGCTGGGGGCTGGCAGCAAATGAGCCACCCAGCGCCTGCCATCTCCGCCCTCCCACTCTCGCTTCCCTCTGGTGTTCTCTCCCGGTCTCCCTCTTTCTCCTGGGCCGGGCATCCTAGTTACAGGTGTGCGTGCCCCGTGCTCATCCGCTTCTTGGCACAGACGTCCATAATCATAGGCGCGTTCGCCCCGTGCTCATGCCCCTCAGCCTTGGGCGCCCATGGGTGCCCATGCTCCCGCTCCCAAGTACTTCTTGCACCATCGTGATGTGACGTGTGGGCATGGAACCTGGCCGGACAGCAAGGCTGCAGCTGGGGGCCAGAGAGGCAAGCGGCAGGAGGCGGAAGAAAGCCCGAGTAACTGCATTTTCCCTTCAGCCAGGGACCGTCAGTGTGCGGAGTGCAGCCAACACTCACCCAACACTAACCTGCTTAGAGAGAGAGAAGGTGAGCGAGAAAGAGGGAGAGGAAGACACCTTACTGGTGCTGTGAGGCCCCACATTGGGTGCCAGATGATGGGGTCTGATGAGAAGCCGGGGTTCAGGGAGCTGGAGGCTTGGGTTACTGCCGCGGGCCAGCACAGCAGTAGACGATGAGGCCGCCTCAGGGTTGAGAGAAGCGTGCAGGGTGGTCAGGGCGTCGGCGAAAGAAATGACAAACAGACACACTTCAAGAGAGTGAAAATCTGAGTGTCATTTTCTTTGAGTTGGTGACCAATATATATGTGTTTTCTAAAGGCATAGGAATGGCGAACATCGGTGAAGAAATCAGCTTGCTTATAGGTTTAGCTTATCATTGACAGGGCCGTGATTTACATCTGGACCCAGGCGCGTTCCTAAGTAGTTAGGCTATTCATTTTTCTTTTTATTTTATGTGATTACTTTTTGTTTAAACTACGCACTACCACTAAATTACTATTAATTAATACGGGTGAATTTTACTTTTCACAATGTAATATTTGTATCATTAAGATTAATGCTAACAAGGCTAAGCATACAACAGAGAAATTAAGTTAACAGTTCTATTAATACACAGAGTTTAGTAACGTTTCATTTGAATTAGCCTAGTTATTAGATTTTGTATGTTTTTTTAATCAGCAAACCAATGACCTTTTTAGACAGAGAAAGAGAAAAGATTTTAGAAAGAGAAAAGATTTTAGAGAGACAGTTGTATTAGAATAAAGTTTGTGGGCCTTGAGAAGGCGAGATAAGGTTTCCATGCGGACAGCATTCCTGTAGTGGCTCCTGGGGGTCGTTATCTTTCAACAGGCTTCCGTCTTATCTATGCCTTTGGGGGGTTTGCTGTTCTCCCCCTGCTTCAGGGAGTTTTGCTGTTCTCCCCCTGCGTGCTGGTTCCTTGCCCAGCGGGACCTAGGGACCAAAGCCATTAGCCCTAAGGGTCACTGCAGGGGGAGGTGCAGCAGGTCCTCCTTTGTTTTTGTTTTTTTTTTTAAAGGCATGTTTTTATTTATTTATTTATTTATTTGCTTGTTTGTTTTGTTTATACATGCACTGGGTACAGTCAGAAGCGCGGGAGGGCGAGAGAATTCACCAGAGCCAGAGCGGGGAGCAGAGCAGGCAGAAGGACCGAAGTACACTGCTGAGGGGAGCAGCGGGCGGCAGGAGAGGTCTGCGCGCCATGTGGGACCCTCCTCCGGTGGCCGGAGAACAGCCGGGGATCGAACCGGCGACACAGAGGTAGCGGGCAGCTTCGCAACCCAGCGCTCAACCACTGCGCCACGGGGGAGGCCCAGGTCCTCCTTTGTTTTTTGGAACGGAGTTGGTAGGCGTACATGTCACGTTGAAGGCGGTAGATCCACCTGTGAAGTAAGCGGACACAGAGGGAGACAATCCAGTGAGTGTGAACACTGATGTCTGGTTTTCTCTACGTCTATGATAGTTCAACAAAAACTTAAAATTGAAAAAAATAAGGACGTGACTAATGGGCACAAGTACAAGGACAAATAAAATGCAAGGTGTGCAATGCACCTGGGAAGGGAAACTCTATTCACATAAATGTCAGCAAATGGGCTTATGTCGATTTTTTAACCAGGTCCCTGGAATTTTTCCTTCTATCCTGGAGAGGAACGTTTGCTCTGAAACACAGCTGTAAACACACTGGTAAGGACAGCGGCTCTGGGGGGACTGACCATTCCACCACACCGCCACCAGGAAGCCCCAGCCCCTCAGCCCACACCTCACTGCAGCCGTCACCCCCACAGCCCTCCTCCTGCAGATCCCCGGCTTTCCCTCCACTCAATCAGGAAAGTCACATGTGCTTCAGAGGGTCACCCAGGGCTCCCCAGGAAGCAGGTTCCCCCAGAACAAGGACCAGTTTAGGAGGCACTTTGGCTGAAGCCTGTGGGACAGGGAGGAATTGGCTGGGCAGAAGGACACCCTGGGCTGTGACGAGCCCCGGTCACACGCTTGTCACCCCAGCAGGAGCTCAGGGCTAAGAGAGGCCCAGAGACACCCCAACTGGGGCACAGCCAGGCCTGTTACTGCCACATCAAGCGGGCATAGGATAGGGGGATGGGGATGACCTCAGAGGAGGTGAGTCTCTTCAGCAGAGTCACCCCAGGGGACGGCTGAAGTTTGGGGTCTGGGTTGCTCCAAGCTGGAGGCCATGGACACTCCATCTGCGGGGAGCCGGGGCTCAGCCCCAAATGTCTGTGGTCTCAGGGCAGAGGCCAGCACACCCTGGACTAGGCACACGGGCTATGACCCAAGGCCTGGGAACCAGCGGCAGGACAGGTACAAGGAGGGACTGGTGTCAGCAAGGCCAGCTGCAGCCCCAGTCCAGTGACAGGGAAAAGTTTCCTTTTTCTCTGTCCATGCAAACCCCCGTCGCTGGCTCCGCCCACCTGAGGTTCCCGTGCTTGTGGCCCAGGGCTCAGGGCTCCAGAAGGAGGAACACACTTGTCCTCACTCGCAGCAGAGGCAGCAGCTCAGGGCTCTCCGGAGAACTCGAGACTCATCATCTGCAGAGAAGGTGAGGACAAGAGGGCCGAAGGTGAGGCCAAGAGGGCCGTGGGCGTGGTGAGTACCCCGTGAGAGTGTTTAATGGAGGCGTAATAGAGGAGCGCTTCAGGGTGGGAGAAAGGGATAGCTAGTACGAGAAGTAAGACATTTATTAGAGTGATGTCCGCACATCAGAATTCATATTTCATGGATTATCTCGTAACTCATTGACAGTTTGTTTTGTTTGAATCAAGAAGCAGAAAAAACATCTAATGAGGTAGTCCCAGATAATTTTATTCGTCTCCTGCCTCTCTTCCCATCATTTTGCCAAGAATCCTGAGGGGTTTTATTTGTTTGTTTGCTTTTCTGAAAATGGTACTGAAAGCTACAATATGAACATTAAAGGTGTCCATAGCTGCTGGGTATGTTTCTGTTTCTAGATCTTTCAATAGAGTGTCTGTGTGCATGTGTCTCTGTGTCTACATAGACAATCCGCAGATGCACACATATACACACATAATTCCAGCTAACATTACCAGTAATACTAATGGTAAATTATAAAAAGTTTTTTTTGGCGTAGAACAACCGGGGTATGGGCCAGAGGTGCGGGGAGAGGGGTTGGTGAAGGGATTCGCCAGAGACAGAGTGCGGAGCCCCCTATTAAAAGAGCTTAAAGGAGATTTTAATGCTTTCTCACTTTAGGATACATGGCTAGAGCTTATCATGAAATTAATGTGTTTCTAAAACACTTGGAATTTTTCTCGTCTGTAGTTCTTTCTATGATGTTCTTTAGCACACATGGTTCCGTTCCTTGTTTCCTTTCATTTCAATGAATTTTCAATATAATTTTGTTGTAAAATCAAGTGCAGTATTTATCATTCTATAATCAAATCTGCAGAGCGCAGTCAATTCAAAGAAGCCCAGCTTCCATCTGGGCACCTGTCTCCCTAGTCTCACCCCCTGCACGGCGAGAACCACGGCCCTTCGTCTGAGGGTGTGTATGGTTTCCCTGATACCATGCGGGAACCTGGCCCAGCTCCCAGCAGTGAGGCTCACAAAAGCCTGGGCGGCTCCCTGTGCCTGGGCGCCCTGGAGACTTGAGCTCAGAGTGTCCCCACTGAGCCCCTAGCGGCCCCTCCATCAGGGCCCTATCCCTGCCTAGAAGCTTTGGCCTGGGGGAGTCTCACCCTGGACGCCCCCTTCCCGACACGCCCTTTGCATCCTGACTGCAGTGTGGCGACTTGTCCTGTGTCCTCCGGGGCCTCAGGGACCCCAGAATGCTGCCAAGTCCCCCTCTTTTCAGCTTTTGGTGGGAAGGCGGGTGCCATCCAGGCTGCTGATGGTCAGAGCTGCAAGCCAGAAGACCAGCTGTCCCCTTGGGTCCATTTTGCATCTGTGTTTTGGGATAATTTTAGGAAAGTTTTCCTCACCCTCTGTTTTGAAAGAACTGGCCTGTTTTCTTCTAGCGTTGTATGATCGCACTTTGTAACAACTAGTTTTTGGATCCATATTTCCGGGTAAGCCTGAGGAATGAGTCCAGATCTAGTTCCCAAACGACTCCCAGGAATCCCCCACACCAGTTCAATGCCCACTTCTCTCCACTGAGTGGGGCTCACAGGCCAGGAACTAACTGCCCTGTGTGGCTGCAGATGCTGCCTCCTGCCTCCTGAGCTCCTGTCTGTGCACCAGTCCTGCAAGGCACCTTCCTGCACTAGTCACCACTGGTCGCCCGACTCCTTACTTTCCTTCTTGTTCCTGTAAGTGCTTCTTCCGCTTGCATGCGACTTCCTCAACTCCCAACTCCCGCGGACGAGCGAGGTATGGTTTAGTGAGCAGTGCTCGCACATTAACCAATTTGCTGTCTTTGGTGCTAAATAGATAGAAAAACAGGTAAGAAAGCATGCTGCAATTCATACGTGGTGCAATGTGTTAAATGAATAGCTGCTGGTATGTTACATGACTAATTTTCCTCCTATTGCGCCCTCCCCCCAGCCCCACCTCACCCCTTGGTTTTTAAAATAAATCCCACTAGTTGGGACGAGCCATTTCTTACAATGCTCCTGAAGCCTCTTTCTCTAACATTTTGTCAGAATGTTGGGTATTTATCACGGATGAGAATCTGGGTCATTTTCTGGGTCAGGCAGTTCAGGCGATGCTCACCTCCTGGGAGGACTCCTGGGAGGACTCCTAAGGTTTCCTCTCGCCCTTCTCAGGTTAATGTGAGTAGGGCCGGGAGTCTGGAGCTGAGGGCTGGATGGGATGGTCCTGGGACAGCTCCGGGGGCAGGCTCCTTGTAGCAGCTCCTCAAGTACTTCTCTGTGGGGTCTTCACTGTCATGGCCATTTTCAGTTTGATGCCTCTACAGGGGCCCACAATGATCACCTGCTTAACCGTAACCCACACATGCGATTTTAAAAGATGATTTGGTCTCTGTTACCACCAGTGTAGGAACAGCTTTCAGAATTCTTGAGTCAGATGCCAAACACTCACTTCAAACACTTTGTCACTATAGATCGCATGAAACATCGCATCTCTCTTTGTAAATATTATTTTAAAATAATGACGTCAAATTTATCTTTATTTTTTCTGGGTATCTTGAGAAAATGAGACTTGCTCACTGTGTACCCAGAGCAACACAAACACCAGGCAGTGCTCACATCCCGCCCCACGGGGTCATTCCCTTGGGCTGAGCCCTGCAGCCCAGCTGCCCACAACCAGGTGGCACCCCTCACCCCCAGCCCACACTCTGAGTGTCCGATGCTCCTGCTTTTTAACCGGCACTTTCCTAGAGGGAACACTACGTGCTCCCACCAGCTCCCTCGGGTTTCAGCTCTTAGGAAAATAAGCTAATCTGTTCTGGATCAAATATGTAGGAGACAAAGGAAAAAGTAGTAAGATTTAAAATTGTTAACACCGCTCTCCTCACAGAACATAGGACGGGGCATAAAAGAAATGGAGAGTAACTTAGTGAAACACTTGTCTTAGGAGACGGGCATGATTTGAATAATCAGGGGGGCATAAAATAAAGAAAAGAAAGGTTGGGATATTTATCTACATCCATTTTTTTCTGCCTCATTAAAATATTAAAGTGAACACCCTCCGAAACCTTCTGGGTGACCATGGCTGACAGTGAGGACAACACTCTGAGGATCGTGCTCGTGGGGAGAACCGGCTGTGGGAAAAGTGCCACAGGAAACACCCTCCTGGGGACAGAAAAGTTTGATTCAAGACCTGCTGCCAAAGCGGTTACCAAGAAGTGCCAGGCAGCGTCCCAGGAATGGCAGGGGAGGAGGCTCCTTGTGGTCGACACCCCAGGACAATTTGACACGGAGACCCTGGACACCACCTGCAGGGAGCTCAGCCAGTGCATCCCGGCCTCGGCCCCGGGGCCCCACGCCGTCGTCATGGTGATGCGGCTGGATTGTCGCTACACGGAGGAGGAGCTGAAAACCATCGCGCTGATCAAGAACGTCTTTGGGGAATCTGTCATGAAGCACATGATCTTCCTGTTCACTCGAAAGGATGAAATGGAGGACAGCAGCCTGAGTCAGTTTATAGCACAGGCACAGGTGTCTCTACGAAGCATCGTCAGGGAGGCCGGGGGCCGCTGCTGCGCCTTCAACAACAGGGCGGGGGCGGCCGAGAAGGAGGCTCAGGTGCAGGAGCTGGTGGGGCTGATAGAGAAGATGGTGCAGAGCAACGGAGGGGCCTGCTTCTCTGACAACATCTACAAGGACATAGAGGAAAAGCTGATACAGCAGGATGAGAACCTGAAGAATATCTACGATAATCAATTATGCAATGAAATGAAACTGGTGGAAGAGGAATATGCTGATAAACCCCACGAAAGGGAAAGAAACATTGCACTTCTGAAGAGGCAATGTGAGGACCGAAAACAAGTGACAAGGTAAGCAGAGCAATGCCCTTGGAGCTGCTGAGAGTGTGCTTAGAAGACGCTGTCAAAGCGCTGGACATGGTTTGGGTGTGATGTGAATTTCGGCTTTTCTTCTTAATCTACTACGATGTGCCAAGATGGTCGGTTGTATTTTCTAAATATGCCCCTAACAGTATCTATCTTGGGTTCCTAATTCTTCCCACAATCTGACCTGGTTACTCCTTCCATTAAGTCGCGGCATCTCTGTCCCCTGCCTTGAAATGGATGGACCTTGCAGCTGCTTTGTAAACAGCAGGTGGCTGAAGCAACCCTATGTGACCCTCAGGTAGAGAAGGCACGTGCCCCCTGCTCCCTCAGGTGGTCACCCCTGGACTTGACACCATGTTGTGAGCAAGCACAAGGGGCCCTCAAGAGACTGTGGTGCAGAGGCCCCATGTCTGCTGGCCCATCACCTGGTCCATCTTCCATCTGCTGACCACACTGACTGGACAGAGCAGTGGGGGTGCAGGGGTCAGAGGAGCCGGGTCTGACCAGCACCACAGCCCTGCACCTCACTGGCCAGGGTGGGGATGGGAGGGAGGGCTCCCGGGGCATCCAGGTCACCGGTGACGGGGGAAATGAAGAATCTGGTTGCTGCATCCTGCCAGCCTTTCCCAGAGAGAAGCCGCGGCCCTGAGCATGAGGTGGGGTGAGGACGGGGTGCTCTGGTGAGGGTGGGCCCCCTAAGGGACGACATAAGTGGAGTCTCCTCCCTCTGCCCTGAGTCCCGGCTTGCTGCAGCTCCCCGTCAGGGAGAGAGTGGGCTCTGCCCCCCGCCCTGGCCTGTCTCTGCTGTGAGGTCACCCACATTTGGAATCCTGGGCCTGAGAAGCAGCCAGGGGGAGGCGGGAGTGTGAGTGGCTCAGGGTGGATGTGGGGTCACTAAGTGGGCCCCTCTGCCAACCCCGGTAGCAGGGCCACCTGGGGCACTTTCCTCAGCATTGTAAGTCCCATTACATCACTTATTTGAAAAGCTGGATGGATGGAGTCAGCTTCCCCGGCTGCTGGCGCTGAGATAATGAAGCACGTAGCGTGGGGGGCTCAGGGCGCTGGCGTGGACACGGCACACGGGCAGGTCTCACAGTGGGAGCTTTAATCCCATCACAGACAAGGAGCCCGATATCAGGAAATCCATGTGGCTCCACCGCAGACAATTATCAATACATCAATCTCGTGTCACCTGTGTCACCCGCCTGAGCGAGTTTACAGCACAGGCTCACGTGAATCTCAGAAACATCGTCGGGGGGCTGGGGGCCGCGGCTGCGCCTTCAACAACAGGTGCTGCAGGTTTGGAAGCAAATGTCCAACACGTGGGCCTTTCTCTGTGAATATGCGGGAGTGACAGTGGGGAGGGAAAGGGTGTCTTTTTTTTTTTTTTAAGATTTATTTATTTATTTACACAAGCACTGGGTACAGTCAGAAGCGCGGGAGGGTGAGAGGATTTACCGGAGCCAGAGCGGGGAGCAGAGCAGGCAGACTGACGAAGTGCACTGGTGAGGGGAGCAGGGGGCGGCAGGGAGGTCTGAGCGCCATGTGGGACCCTCACCCGGCGGCTGGGGGTCAAACCGGCGCTGCAGAGGCTGCGGGCAGCTTCGCAGCCCCGCGCCCAACCGCTGTGCCACAGGGGAGTCCCCAGGGAAAGGCTGTCTTAGAAATAGACGGAATCAGGCTCCAGGAGCAAGACTCCCATAGAGCATCACCAACTCGACCCAGCCGCCCCGGGTGTCTCTCTGCTCGCACAGCTTGGGGGAAGGCACGGAGGCCACAGGCGGCGCTGCCGAGTCTCTGCAGCTCCCGCAGGCCCAGGATTCTGCTCTGGCTCCCATTTATGCGCCAACGGCTCACTGCCCTCATTACAGACCGTTTCCTATCTGGTAGACTGATTTCTTGATTTTTCAAGCTTATTTGCTTTTTTCTTCATTCACAAAACTTTATATTTGATTGTTTCAGCCGCAGGGGGAAGTAGGGAGGGCAAGCCCTTGAAATTGTATGATCTATACAATTACAGTGAAAAGTGTCTCTCAATCCCAACTGTGTAGTGTTTGAGTCAGTGTGTAATGTGCTGAGCGTCTTTTCTGCATGGGGTAGTTCACCTCCAATTTCTTCATGGGATATTCGATGGTGTAGGCATCAGTTTTCTCACAGGAGACCACCCCAGCATTGCTGCAATAGATCACACTTAGTCACGCTGTCCTGATGCCTCGTCTAGTGATTCATTTAGGATTTGGGAATCAACCTTCATGCTGAGACATAGCTGTAGCTTTGTTTATTGGTGAAATCTTAGCTTGGGGACCAAAATGGCACAGTTTTGTAGAACGAAAGGAAGATTCCTTCTTTTCTGCATCATCAGAAGCAAGTTAAGCAGCCCTGAGAGGATCCGATGAGATCTTCGGGCCTGCAAGGGCTCCCCGGGAAAGACCTGGGCCTGGCGCTCTTGCAGGAAAACTCTGTATCGTCGCAGCGTAACTGCTGCGTCTTCCAGTCTCTGCCAGGAGCAAGGTGAATAGTAGATGGCTCCCAGTTTTCAGGGAGGGAGAGATAAGAGAATGAATTCCATGTAATTTTTACCTTTTCCCTCTTCTTCCCTTCTGTAAGCTTCAAGCCTCTGAGGATCGTGCTCGTGGGGAAAACTGGAAATGGGAAAAGCGCCACAGGAAACACCATCCTTGGGGAGAAAGTGTTTGATTCAAGGGTTGCTGCCCACGCTGTTACCAAGACATGCAGCGGAGAATCCCGGGTATGGCACGGGAGAAGCCTTCTAGTGGTCGACACCCCGGGGCTCTTTGACACCAAGGAGAGCCTGGACACCACCTGTAGGGAGATCAGCCGGTGCATCCTGGCCTCGACCCCGGGGCCCCACGCCATCCTCATGGTGGTGCAGCTCACCCGCTACACGGAGGAGGAGCAGAGAACCATGGCATTGATCAAGAACGTCTTTGGGGAATCCGTCATGAAGCACATGATCTTCTTGTTCACGCGCAAGGAAGAGTTGGGGAACCGCAGCCTGAGTGAGTTTATAAAGGAAGCTCACGTGAATCTCAGAAGCATCGTCAAGGAGGCTGGGGGCCGCTGCTGCGCCTTCAACAACAGAGCAGGGGAGGCCGAGAGGGAGGATCAGGTGCAGGAGCTGGTGGGGCTGATAGAGAAGATGGTGCAGAGCAACGGAGGGGCCCACTTCTCTGACGCCATCTACAAGGACATAGAGGAAAAGCTCAAAGAAAAGGTGGAGAACTTGAAGAAAATCTACACAGAGCAATTAAATAATGAGATTAAACTCGTAGAAGAGGAAGATGCTGATAAACCCCAGGGAGAAAGGGAAAGAGAAATCCAACAGCTGAGGAGGAAACATGAAGAGAGAATGAAAATTATAAATGAAGAAGCTAAGAAGAATATATTTGATTATGTTGTGAGTGGGTTTAAGAAGATGCTTTCAAAAATGTGGAATAAGTTTTTCAAGTAAAAACATTTCAGGTTTTCTACTTAATTTAGTGGATTTATTAATGTGGTAGATTGTATTTCCCAAATATGGCTATAAAAATGCCTTCTGTCTTACTAATTCCTGCAGTCTGACCTTGTTTCTCCTTCTATTAAGTTGCGGGGTCTGTGTCCCCTGCCTTGAAGTGGATGGACTTCCAGGCCGCTTTGACGAACAGCAGGTGTCTGAAGCAACCCCGGGGTCTTCTCGGGTAAGCCAGAACATACCCCCTGCTCCCTTGGGTGCTCGCCCTTGGACTGGCCACCATGTTTTGAGCAAGCCTAGGGGACAGCAAGAGCCCCCGTGGAGAGGACTTGAAGTCACTGTCCAGTCCAGTGCTGATGATCATCTGCAGCACAAGAGATGGACATTGAAGTGGATTCCCCAGCTGCCCTTTGAGCCCCCTCCCATGAAGCTGGAGAGAGCAAAGACGAGCCACCCACCCTGAGTCCCATCCAAATGCAGATTCATGAGAAAATAAATGATTCTTCTTTTCAACCAGTAGGCGTTGGGATGGTCTTTTGTGCAGCTCTACTAACCAGCATTAAACATTTTCCCTGCACCCCTTATTCCTCCTCACAAACAAGTGAACAAGTTAGAAATTGGCATTAGAGGCAATAATCTGTCACTGGGTACTACGTCCATTTAGGAAAATTCAAATCAGAACTGGACATGACATGTTGTCAATGGCCATGTGGTTTGTTCCCCCTGCATCTATGACCCAAAAGCCCAACATCCCTGTGAATCCTGTGTGAGCTAAATGGCCTCAAGTGAAAACCCAGCACTACTTTCACTTTTGCCACCGAAGCAAAAATCCTCTTTCTATTTCTTTTGCTTACCAAGAACAGGGTCCAATGGAGGTCTCTCATGAAGTAAAGTGACATAATATAAACCCCTGAAAAGTCAGGGTGGGGGCGGCGGACACTGAGGTTCTCTGGCTGGACGCTCATGGCCGGTGCATCTCAGGTGAGAAAGTCTCCTGTTGATTTTCTTGCTTGTCCTTTGTAAGGAACCACCCCACGTACAATGTCCCTACTGCCACACAGCAATCTCTCTGGGCCACATCCTCACTGGTCTCTGCAGACCCCACACCCCTCCCGGGGGCCCCTGTCCACGCCCAGACCCCGTGTCTCTTGCTCTCTGACTTCTGCTTGGATTCCCATGGGCCCTCCACTCGGGGGATCACCTGGGGGTAGGAGGGCGAGGCCAGGAGACGTGCTCCCTCCTCCCTACGGGGTCACCTGGCCACCCGCACCCCTGAGCCAAGGGCCTACTCCTCCCCGGGGGTGGGGTGTCTCTCTACATAGTCCCCCGATAGGCTCCGTTTTCACTCACCCCACAGGGTTCACACCTAGTTGTTTCCGAATTACAGCGGGTCACCAGTTGTCACTGGAGTCTGATTGATAAATCTCACAATACCTGCTTCGTTTTCTCCTCCAGACCTTCCCTGACTTCCCTGTGTCATTTTTAATCCCTTCGTGTTGCTGCCAGGAACACCTCTCCTGACAGCCGGACTCCTGGGCAGGCTCACCCTCACTCACGGGCCCAGCAGTGAGCAGGTGAATCTGTCTCTCTTGCAAGAATAATTGAGGAACTTTCCGGCTAAAGGGGGACTTACCTCCAACATAATGACTGCAGAGGCGACCCAGACTCCAGTTGTTGGGGTTCATACACTGTCCTTTGTTTCCTCCCGGGGCACCACAGAGCATTACTGCATCTATGAAGCTGGTGGGGGCAGGGACTAGAGATCAGCTCCGCAGAAGATGAGACCGTCAGGATTCTTCTGGATGCCGTAAAGGCAACATGGAGGAGAGAGCCTGACGTGAGAGAGCACATTCCTCACACATGCGAGGTCAGACCGCTCCACCCAACCGCTCGTTGCCACCCTGGGCATCTTACTTTCCAGGCGGCTCCTTGTGAGTGTCTCACCAGCACAGCAGCATCTCTAGCGACTGAAGTCCTTTAAGGACCATATGAAGGATTTTTTCTGTCAGGTGAAAACACTTCTTGCCGAAGTATCTTAACTCACCTGACTCGTGTGCATCCAGATGGGTGTTCGTACCCACTGAAGATGTAATCGAGTCATTCATTTCTTTTCTCCCAACTTCCAGTCTGTTTTGGAAAGTAAGACATCCTCGGGAGAGAAAATGAGACAATGAAATCAATCATATTGACTTTATCTCTTCTGAGGCAACTGAAATAAATACACTCCCCACCGAATGACCTTAACCTTCCTCATATCCAGTTGCTCTGAGGGTCCTTCTGAGGTCTGAGAATTGAGGGCTGAGGTCCCTGGAAGTGCCAGCAATGAAAGTCGCTTTGTCCCTCTTACGAAAGCTGCGGCAGCCCCGACCTGCTGTGGGCAGTTCATGCAGGGGTCATAAGAGAGGACTGGAGGCGAATCCAGCACTCAGTCTACTGCTAGGTTTGTGTCCATGACCGTGGGGGTGAGAATGAGGATCACACTTCTCTTCAGTAAAAAGGGAGCTAGGGACCGCAGCTCCGATGTGAGGCGATGGGTAGAGCCAGGAGCAGTGGCTGCATGAGGTGTATGACAAAGTGAGTATCAGATGTCAAAGGGAGGGTTCTGTGCTGGTTCCCTGGGTTAACCTTAAGTACCGGGCTGGGGATTATGTGAAAGGCCTGGGGTTAGCGAGGAAGGTCTTAATGTAAACATTCCCGCTGCGTCCTCAATAATCACCATATGCCCACATTCCACAGCTCTGGCCTGGAAGATCTATGTGGGGCTAGCACAGGAATGATCTAGAAGAAACCAGTTTTGTGATGTATAGTAATAAAATTAATTCCACAGTTGGTTGGACAGCTCAGGAGGAAAGGACTTTTGAAAAGGGGACATTTGGTGACCAGGACATGGCCCTTGGGGCAGGCAGGTCTGGGGTCCATCTCTAGAGCCCCAGCTCCCAGGAAAGAGGCCTGTGTGATCAGACAGGGGAGACTCCATGTGGACCCCTCGCTGTGCCCCCCTGAAGGGATGGGATTCCCTCTTACCCCAGGCCAAGGCAGGCAGCCTGTTGGTCTTGGTGCTGCCAGAGGACGAGGCTGGTGTCCTCAGGGGGTCCTAGGCAGAGGTGACCCCTCTTCTCTAGAGTTTGGTTGGCGCCTGTGCTCTCCTACACTCGAGAACATGAGCGGGGGCTGCTAGTCACAGCGGGCACAGCAAAGATGCAGGAGGCTGATGAAGGACCCGGTGTCCACGCCTGTGGATGAGTGTGTGTTCCCATAAAGCAATGTGGCCAATCAGGAGGGAGAAGCCAAAGCCACTAGGAGGCCATAGGGACCTCAACAGCGGGGTAGGAGCCGGGGCTGTGGGCGCCCAGACCCCAGGGCTGAAGTGGAGCTGACCAGCTGGAGCGAGATTGGCCTCCTGGAACTGGTATCCCAGATCTGGGGTCTCTGCAGACTCAGCAGGGGGGCCCCATGAGGACAAGGGCTGCACTGGGACCCCTTCCCCAGAGGCTACATCCCAGTTCAGTGTGTCCTCCTCCCCCACCCTCCAGATTCAGAACCAAGGTGAGTGTCTGCAGGAGGAGCCGGCTGTGGGGCCAGACCTAGGCGGCAGCCCGGCCCACACGTGGGTCCTTTGTCTGTGCAGGTGCGGCCCAGGAGGGGTGCTTCATCCTCAGGGAATGCAGAGTCTGCTGTGGGGGGCCCTGATGAAGTGTGACCAGCAGGGAAGGAGGGTTTGTCCTTGGGGTGGAGCCTGCCTAGGCTTCTTCTCGAAGCCCCAGGAGGCGCATTCGAGTGTCAGGGGAGAAGAAAGCACGTGTCTCCCTTCCTGGTCCCTTGGGTCCCCCTGGCTTAGTCACATAGTGATGTGTGGGTGATCTGCTGTGCCCAGGAAGGGAGGCTGCAGGCAGGGACCCAGGGCTCATCCCCCTTGTCCCTGTAACTGGGAGTTCATGTGAGTGGTGAGGATGTAACAGGGTGGTCCCCAGGAAAGGGGGACGTTCCAGGTTCCCTGCCCTGCCCAAAGGAGGGTGGAACTGGGCGGGGAGATAAGAGGCTGCAGAGGAGGCTGAGGAAGGAAGGAAGCAGGATGGAGCCAGAAGGAGACCTGGAGGAGGCGCATGGAGCCAAGAGACACGTGAAGAAGCTGCACTTGAAGCCCTTTGGTCGTGGACTGGGTGACACAGATGTGGGTGAGACCCGTGGGGAGGATAGCAATGGCAGCTTTTATCTTGATTTTAATTTTGCCCTTTTCCTTTCAGACTTGTTTGGTTGTTTCTGATCCTTTTCTGTGGGTCCCCAGTAAAAGGCGCAGCTTTCGGGCCTTGCTCTGGGCCAATCCTGCTTGAGTGGACTTTTCCCCACGAGGGGACGGGTCACTTTGGGTGCTCGATTTAGAAACTAAATTCTTTGCCTTTCCTGTCTTGTTTCCTAATTGTATTAAAGTTCCTTCCCATGAAAGTCTCGTGTTTTGTGTTGATGTGGTGGCTGGAAGAGCCTATTTAGAGCAGGCAGGTTTGCGGGGTCTGGGCTGCCCCTCCCTGCCCTGTAACAGGGACAGGGGCACCCCCAAATTCCTGGGGGATCCAGTGTCCACACCTGGAGAGGATTTCACTGAAGGCCCAGAGCCAGAGATTCAACAGGGAGCAGGACTACATGTCCCCAGGGGCCCTGGGCCTTGTTCTCCAGATCATTTGGCATCCAGCCCTGGGCGCTCACAATCTATGTTCAGGGGTCACCTTGTCCTGGTGGACAGGACAGGAGGACAGAGACTTGGAGAGCGGGTGTGACCTCCCCTCTGCCTGGAACACCCGATGCTGAGCTCATGGGGTGAGAGTGCAAGACTGGCCCCTCTGAGAGGGCACAGCCAGGTCTTTGGAAACAGATTTCACTTGACAGCATCTCAGTCTGGGGGCCAGTGAAGCCCCACTGACTCTGGGGAGGGCAGAAGCAGCTGGACTTAGACCCTTCCCACTGTGGGTTCTCCTTCCACAGACAATTCAGAGGGACTCCAGAGACTTAGCAAGTCCACAGCCCTCAGGCACAGAAGGCTTTGGGGAGAGAGCAGTCACTCGCTGTGTGCTGTGCAAAAGCCCAGAACAAGCCAGCTTGTGGGAACAGTCACTTGTTGAACATGAGTGCAAAATCGCACTGTTTTGTGTGTGTCTGTAGAAAGCAGGCCTCTGTGCTCACAAGCAAATAAGATGGACTCTAAGTGATGGTTTTTCAGTTCCTCCTTCCTCCTTGTTGAAAGCATCTTGATGATCTAAACCCCTCTAAGCTGCAGTGCTTTCTCTGGGGTTGGCATCAACAACCCCTTGTGGAGGGAGACGGTAGGTATGACATCATTGTCATCGTCGCCATCATCCCCATTGCATCACCACCATGTCCTCCACGAAGGTATAGCATCACCCCTCTGTAGTGGGTCTCTTTCACGCACACGCTCCTGTCAGGGGCATCAGCCATGCATCTGTGCGCAGTTTAGAGCGGCAAGGGAGGGCCTCCAACGAGACTGAGGAGGCTCCGTGA